GAGTGGTTGAGATGTCCTTAGATAGATCTTGAAGTCTATTATCATTATTTCTGAATTTCTGGAGGAGAGGAGAGAGTTATATAGACTAAAAACGAGGTAGAGCGAACTGCAGCATAGAAACTCGAGCAGTTGGAGTGTTGGTATTGTTTGCTTCATATCCCGAGCTACACTCATCCAAAAAGGGAATGTGAGGTGTCTACGGAAAGCTATAAAGATAAGGAATCCTTGAAGGTGGAGTTTGCATCAAACGGAGTAGTATAAGGCCTCCAAATTGTCGAAAGAAAACACAAACGCGCAGAAACAAATTTGCTTCTCTAAAGTGAGTTTGAATCTAAAACTTTCCTTTTTCATTATCTAAATGATATGAACGATTGGTGGAACTACTATAAACTATTTCAATTTTATAATATGTTCTTTATAAGGTTACTTTATTGAAGTGTTAGATTCTAACCTAGAACAAACCTTGAAAGGTTAGGAAAGGAATTCGCCGGAAAACACCCATTCTAGAGGCTGTTTTCGTATCGTCGGTTAAGAGTTGAGCTAGCACCTTGAGGAGGCTGTCTAACACTCATTTCTAAGCAAGGAATCCGTTCTCAAACTTCCTTGCCCAAAGCTTTGAGCATTGGATTGAGAAGGAAGAATTTAAAGCTCATTTGAGGTGAGGATCGACATCTAGTTGAATTGCTTACACCTTGTAGGTTAAGAATGAGATTACCTAAATGTTTAAATCATGTTTTCATGGATTATGATGCTTAAATATTGATAAAATATTGATATATTTGATAAGGAATGAAATTTGAAATGATTTGAGGCCATATCAGGGCCGTCTCCAGGAATTTTGGTGCCCCAGACAAAAAATAACCAATGATATCAAATTGTACTTCAAATTAATAACATAATTAAATATCTGTATGAAATAATTTGAAAATTATAAAATCATTTTTTACTAAATGTAAAAAGAAATACCTGATTTAAAATTGATGTAAAGTATGTGAAAATATAAATTCTTCAAAGAAATAAATAAAATTATAAAAGTACTACCTAATAACATATTCTTCTTGCTTTTTGATGTGCAAATTTGTAAGTACATCACCACAATCAAGAGTAGATAACACTTTTTTAACCATTTGCAAGCACTGAGTATAGTGTTTGTCACTAAAACTCCGTTTTTTATCAACGAGGTAATCATCATGAACAGTAATTCTTATTGGGCCAGTTTATTCTATATATATAGGAAAATTCTCAGGTCCGAAAGTTCGGACCTGAGGCACCGTCCGAACACCGCCGTTTGGGGCGGTTCCCGGTGGAAATTTTCGATGAAATTTTTATGGTATGTTATGCATCAAGTATAGTTTATTCACACAAAACTTCAGCTCAAAACTCGATCCGGAAGGACGTCAAATAAGTTTTGGAATTTGACTGCGTTTTTCTATGTATAATTTTGTGCAGTTAATTTCAAAAAATTATTTGACGGCCTTACCGGTCGTATTTTCAGCTGAAATTTTTTGTGGATACACTAGACTTGATGAAGAACATACCATAAAAATTTCATCAAAATATTCCACCGAGAACCGTCCCGAAAGGCGTTGTTCGGACGTCGTTCGGACCAAAACCTGTTGGACAAGAGAATGATGCCCCCCTTGGGAGTGGTGCCCTAGGCCACTGCCTAGGTGCTTACCACCTAGGGCCGGCCCTGGGCCATATTGATAATATGAAATTAAATTGGCTATTAATGAACTATTATGTGAAATAGGCATTTTTACTCATGTATGAATTGTGTAGATACATAAATGAATATTTATGTATTAAGATTGGATTCTTAAGTTGTTGCCACATATCTCTAAATATGTAGGGATTTACAAATTGGAATATTTGATTTGATAGGAATAATCTTAATGGTATTGAAATACTAGTTAATGATTATTTTTAATTGTTAAAGAATTGATTCTAAGGGTTCGATTGTAAGTGATGCACTTGAATGTGATTCAAGTATCTAAATTGATTTAGAAAAGAGCTAAGATCATGTTATGGGCAGTCCTTAAGGATGTCCCAAAATTGTTTATTGATATGTCAATTCTAGGCATAGTTTTACTTAGGAATTGGACATGGTGCATGGTGATGTAATAGAGCTGAGCTCTAGAATGCATGGCGGGGTGATAGACTTGTAGTCTATGATTTGTATAGCTAGAGCCGAGCTCTAGGGCTTGCATGGTGATGTAATAGAGCCGAGCTCTAGAATGCAAGGTGAGGTATGTAATAGAGCCGAGCTCTAGAATGCAAGGATATGAATTGAATGGGGATGTAATAGAGCCGAGCTTTAGAATGCAATGAAATATATTAGGGTTGGACTCTATGAGTTGTCAAGACTGTTAGTCATGGGGAATGGGAATGGTGATTTCTAAATGGACATGGGCCAACGGGCCGACTACTTGACTTCATATAAAGTAAGTATACTTTCAAACGGGGTAACTTGGGGTTACGACACATATTGTACTATCACCCTATTTGAGGGTCTTGTGTTTGAAATACTTGTTGTATATCTATTAGATGTCATCCACACAAGTACTTTATAGCCCTATAGAGTACTGACCCCTTCGGGGGCGCCCCACCACAATTTCAGGTTGAGGCTAGAGCTTGCTTCATGTGCTCGTTGCTCGAGTGATTGCTCCGCAGAGAAGACTTGGTTCGTGCTTCCTCCATTCTGTTTTGAACAATAATAAACTTGCTCATGGATATTTTACTATAGAGCATGCATGCTCATGATTCGCCCTGTGTGGCATTTGTTTTAAACTATGTTTTCCGCTGCGTATTGAATTGCTTATTATGTTTGTTTATGAATGACTTATGTGTGAATGATAATCGAGACGCCTTGTATAACATGTATATGTTTGACTGTGGTTGACTATTCGTATTGTACGGCGGGTTGTTGACGTGTCCGGGTAGGTTCGGGGCGTGACATAACTGATCTTACTTCTCTATATGGTGGTGCTTTACATATCAATCCACGCTCGTCAATGTCTGCATCTAACCAATTCGGTGCATCAAACATGGTTTTTAATAATAATGTTATGATGAATACTTCATTTCTCTTTTCAAGATCTTTTACATTCTTCTAATATTCCATGGGAGAGTCATGTTAGTAAACAAGTAGAGGATCAGATAAAAGTAACAAGGCCATACAAGATACCATATGAGTATCACTAACATAGTTGGAGGTAGCAAAAATTGGAGCAAGGATGAAGACATAACACTAATATGTGAATCTTCAATCTTATCTTAAAAATTTGGTGGGAGAATATGGGAACTTATGATGAGTTTCTCACAATAAATAGCTTACAATGTCGTTGGGCTAAGATCTTAGTTGCAGTGAACACATTTCATGCTTTATATGAGTGACTGCACATGCATCCAACATTGGAGCAAGTCAAGAACATATGGTAATTTCTACTTGTGTATATCTATTGCTTTGTGTTCTTGTATTTTCATTATCATTTCATTTTAATATTACAACCTGCCTTGTTTAAACGTTGTGATGTTTGAATGTGTGATAATGTGTGTATGTATTTCAAGAACTGACTTATCATTTGTAGAGGCGTGAGGGAATGCGCATGTACAAAGATATTAATCATGGTCGATCCTTCAAATATGAACATTGTTGGGAGATCATGACAAAAAATCCAAAATTGTGCATGAAAGAGGTTACCAAGACCAATGATTTGTCAAGCAAAAACCTACCAATGCAAGTGGTGATACTCGAGTACCAACTACACCCGGTATCATTAATCTAGATGGTGCTAGTGATGGTAAATGCAGTGATATTGAACACCCCGAAGGAAGAAAAGCTACAAAAGAAAATTAAAAAAGAGGTTGAACCATGAAAAATTTCTCATAATAATAATTCTCATAGTTTTTTTCCTAAGATAATTCTAATATGCATGTTTGATAAGTGTTTTGATTCTATTTTTACCCCCTTCAATTTATTTATGAGGGAATTTGACTTTACGCCTCATTTTTTTGGGTAATATTGGACTTTGCACCCCATTTTCAAAACAAAAAAATGACTTTGCATCCCATTCCACTTAAAAATCATTTGACTTTGCATCACATTAAAAAAAGATTCTTCACAAAATGCCGGAGTGCAAAATCAAAGTTTTTTCAAAATGTGGTACAAAGCCCAAAACCACCCAAAAAGTGGGATGTAAAGTCAAATTCCTCCTTTAGTTATTACTTACATATATGCAGGTTTAAATTAGCTAGTCATATATTAGGAATTTGTGAATATTTTGGTCACATAAATACATTGTTCAACTTTTATCACCTAACAATCATTCAGAAGTTCATTCTCTTCTACTATTACTCATTACTATTACATGTTACTAATTGTGAAATTAGTATATAAAAGGGCTTTTGAGCTAGCAGAAAATTAGTCAACCATATCTAATTAACACTTGAAATTAGTGTTAATAATTCAATCCTCCCTATGATAGACTGGGCCGGGTTTCAAATATTCTAACCGGCCGTGGCCCGTATGAGCCGAGCTGAGCTTTTTGGCAAATGGGACGGTTAGGTCTCATGGGCTCATGAGCCCGCGGGCTAAACGATGACCCTAACACATATGTATGGATTAATTAAATAACATAAAATGCCGATCAGTTTACATACATAGCCATTTTTCACTTTCTTGTACTACGTATTAAATTATTAATAGATACTATTGTACTATTGTTTCCATTCATCTTTATTGCGGCTATTATAGATTTTATGCTATTCTTATTATGAAAGTAAGTTTTATTTAATTTGATGATATTATTATATGTCATATATTCATTTTATTTTATTAATATCATGTGCTCCACAAATATTTTCATCTTTCAATTTTCTTTTATGATAAATAATTTATACTTTATACTATTTCTTTTTCATCCGTATAACTTTTAATTACACAATTTTCATTTTTTTAATCTAGAAACGGTCACATGAATTTGGGATGGAAGGGATAGTAAATAAGTAAAAATGTAGAACAAGTATTCGGTTTTGGCCTGCCTAGGGAGGTTTGACCGGAAGCCTTCGCCTTTCATAACCGCGTCTCTATATTATCATAGCTGTTTAATAAGTCGTCGTCTGGGTTCTACCATCATCATCAAGCCGTTGTATGTAAATAATATAAATACTCCATATCTGTACATATTTGAATTTGCTCGTTCCTCTTCTTCAATCCTATCTATCATTCAAACAGCGTCTAGATTGTCAATAACTCAATCTTTTCTGTGGATTGGTTTTCTTTTGGCACGCGGCCATAAATCTGCGTAATTCCAATTCTCCAGTATACTCTGCGTAAATCGGACCTTTTTTATATTTTTCGCCAGCGTCTTCAGGATCCGAACAGTCTATTGCTTTTCCTGGTATCTTTCCTTCCATAATCTTAGTTCGATCTGTTATTTTGTGTCTTCATACAGATCTATTCTCTCAAGTGGCTGAAACAGTTTGTTCCTGCTGACTTCCAGATTTAACCCGGTGACAAAAAAAATGTTTGGTGTCAAGAAATCCTCCTTGCACAGGATTGCTAAAACCCACTCAGTTGATCCTGGATTTTCTACCCCTCCTCCTACTTCAAACCCTTTCGACTCTGATGATGAGTACGAAAAGAAGAAAAATGTTAAACCCTCAAGGAGTTCTTCAGAGCCTGCTCTTGTTGCTCCAAACTTGAGCTCTAACCCTTTTGATGATGATGATGATGATGAGACTAAAGGGGTTCCCTCCTCATCTGCATATCCTTCGTATACATCAACAGACCGAAACAGATACAAGGATGGTTTCCGTGACTCGGGAGGGTTGGAGAGTCAGTCTGTACAGGAACTGGAAAGTTATGCTGTATACAAGGCTGAAGAGACTACAAAAGCAGTTAATGGTTGTCTGAAGATTGCTGAAGAAATGAGAGAAGATGCGACTAAAACTTTGATCAACCTACACCAGCAGGGTGAGCAAATTACTAGAACTCACATGGTTGCTGCCGAAATTGACACAGATCTTAGCAGGGTATGCATTCCTAACTCAAGAAATCCTATTATTTTAATATGTATAGATTATCCTTCAAACAACAGACTTAAAGATGCTAAAAGTAATTGCAACCTGTTTTTAGTTGTATATTGACCATTTCGTGCAAGGCTACCTATAAAGGGAATCCTCCTTCACATTTCAGATTCAGAATGACAATAGAGAATATTAACTCTTTGCTTCTGGAATGCAGTTCTTAGTTCTTACTATTGATAGCTGACTTCAATAAAATTGAAATTAATTCAGGGTGAAAAACTTTTGGGAAGTCTTGGGGGCTTATTTTCCAAAACGTGGAAACCTAAGAAGAACCGCCCAATAACCGGCCCTATTATCACACGAGGTTAGGTTTTTGTAATCTCTTTCATAAAAGCATGATGGGATCGATTAAAAAAATGACTGCTTCTTTTGGGATGTTGAAGTAGGTTACTGTTTTTGCTTGACTGTTTTTGGGGTGTTGCAGATGATGTAGTACAGAGAAAGGGTAATCACTTGGAGCAGAGGGAAAAACTGGGGTTGAATTCTGCTCCCAAAGGTTACTCAAACACACAAAGATCCCTTCCTGAACCAACTAATGCATTGCAGAAAGTCGAAGTAAACCTTTTTTACTTAGGGATTTTTCTCGTTATGTGTATTATTGTTAATGTTCTTATTATTAGTAATATCATAGTAGTCATGGCGCATGGCGATTGCCATGGCTCAAAGGCAATTTTCATGGTGTATATACGAATGGCGCATAAAGCACATATGGCGCTATGGCGAAGAACACTTTTTCATGGCGATAGCACATATGGCGCGCGCCATATCTAGCCATTGACTACTATGATTAGTATTCTTTTTATTGATCTGAGAACTTCATCTTTTGTTTACAACTACATCCTTAATTTGTTGAGTAATGTTGGGGGGTCATTACATTGGTACATTCTAGAGAGACTCTTTTGTGGCACATTGTATTGGACGATCATCACATGTCTAACTTTTCACCATCAATGAATGTGTCACACATCTAATGTTTTCCTCAGAATGTATGAATCTAATGTTCTCTTTGGATTATTATCTGGCCGTATTTTACTAGAGAGTTGATTGAAACAAAAGGACAATTTTAGAGCTCTAGACAAAATATTTTTATTAGATATTCTCATGATTGCTCACACACCATGCACCACTTCCTTTTTCTTTTTCTTTTTTGGTCCTACCATACCATGTCTTACAGAAGCTCACAAGTGCTAAGAAGCACGAAAACATCACAGTGCTCATGTTTCACCATTTCACAAGTTCAAAAACTTCAAGTTATATTTTCTGCCCCGTTTCCGTAATTGAAATATTGATAAACATATCTCCTTAATCAATTAGCGTTTTGGAAATGTTAGGTCTTCACGTTATGGATGAGAGTCGGTGAATAAAGAACAGCTCTAGGAAGATTTCCATAAATAAAGGAATGCTTTACAAACAGATCATGTATAGCAGAAAGCTTGACTAAATGGTGTTTTTGTACAGGTTATAGATATATGCAAATGCGAAAAAAGCAGTTAATCTGATTCTTGTAGTGGGTTTTGAGCAGGTGGAAAAGGCAAAGCAAGATGATGCACTCTCTGATCTAAGTAATCTCTTGGGGGAGCTTAAGGAAATGGCCATTGACATGGGATCTGAAATTGAAAGGTATGCTCAAGTTAAAATTTCCTTCAAAAAAGCATTTCAGTTGCTTACTTGTTTTTGTCTTTCCCCTTCCGGAGTTTCAAACATAGCTGATTAGCATAGTCCTTTTCTCTTCCAAGTGAGCTCTCACACGCACCTTTTCCCCTTATATCGGGCCCGCCCTTATGTGTGCTCAACTGAACATGAGAAACGTTCATTTACAATGCTTGCAGGGGGAATAAAGCCTTGGACCATCTTCAGGATGATGTTGATGAGCTGAACTACAGAGTAAAGGGTGCCAATCTACGTAGCCGCCGTTTGCTTGGGAAGTAGAGTGATATTGTTGTGCAATCAACAAATACCACCCACCCCCGTCTTCTTACTAAGATCCTCATGGTCTGTAGGCAATAATAATAAATGGTGATTCTTTCTTATGTTATTGGTATGCCTGATTCCTTGATGGCCACATTGTTGTTATGCATAGGAATTTCTCTTACAGCAAGTACCTCAACGTTTTCATTCATTCAACGACCGAAGTTGCTGTAATGCTACCATGTGGACACTGTTTCTAGTATAATGATTTGCATATACCTTTGTTGTACACTTGATTAATTTATTTAAGAGATTTCGCCTCAAAGTTCTCGCGTAATTGCAGATTTACAAATTGAATCCTTGTCAAATTGCTTCTTTTTCTTTTAATTCAGGTTTGAATTATCAATGAATTGGAATCTGTATGCTTTATTTCTTAATTCTGTATTCGGCAAACTATCAGAAGTACCACGTATAAGGGAGGTGTATATTTCTAAAATTCAAAAGCATATATACAGGCGTTATAAGGTTTACCCCATATTGAAGACATGAGATAGACATATTCTAACCTCTGTGGAAGGCAAGCAATTAGAGGATCAAAGAAGACAAATCAAATAATCAATCAAAAGATTGAACTGAGCCAGAGTTACATGAATGGAGTCTAAATAAATCATGATATTAGGAATAATTGATTTTTTTTATTTATACTTAGCTAGTTCACATTTTTGTTTTATGCTATAAAACGAAGGTCTTCATTTGAGAGGTAGGACACCGTTATTTTTGGGGATATCTTCAGCTTTGTCGAAGCGGCAAGAATAAAAGATGAAAATAACATAACAAGTCAACAACAACAATAACAACATCCAAGCCTTAATCCCAAAAGAATTTGAGGTCGGCTAACATGAATCGATCTATGATATCGATGCCAAAAAGAGAAGGCGGACAAGAAAATGAAAAAAAGTAAGATAAAATGAATAAAATAAAGATACATAAATATAAGATAACAATAACACAAGAATATAATCAAGATAAAAGAAAAATAAATAAAAGAGCATAAAAAGCTAGAAGATAAAAATAACATAAGAATATAACAAGATAAGGAAGATAAACGATAAAAGAAACAAGAGAGGAAAGGTAGACAAGACATCAATCGTCCACATGGATGTGCGCTAAGGATGGACTAAACCGGCCCGGGCCGGCCCGGAACCGGCCCGGCTCGCTACTGTGCGGGCCCGGACCGGACCGGACCGGGACCAGTTGGCCGGTTCCGGGCTTTTAGCCCGTTTAGGCGGGTCGGGCGGGCCGGGCTCAGGCGGTTCGGGCCGGGCCCGGGTCAATTTTTTTTTGTTTTTTCAATTTTTTTTCTTTTCCTAGGGTAGGACTGGGTGTTTTGGGGAGGTTTGGGGGGTGGGGGTGAGGGGGGGGGGGGGGTCGGGGGATAACAAGAAAGCAAAAAAAAAAAATTAGACATTGAACCGGGCCCGGTTAGGCCCGGACCCGCTATCAACCCGGGCCGGTTCCGGGCCCAAGGATTTGCAAAAAAAGCCCGCCCGGGCCCGGCCCGGGTCCATCCCTAATGTGCGCCCTCCACTTTGCATACTCCAAAGCCATACTCTCATCCAACCCAAGAAGACACATATCAGTTTTGATTACTCTAATCCAAGTCTGTTTGGGTCTTCTCCTCCCTCTCTTCTCTGACTCTTCTCCCCACCCCTCAAGTCGTCTAACATGTGCATCACTCGGTCTTCTATGCACATGCCCAAACCATCGCAAACGAGACTCCTGCATCTTATCTTCTATAGGTGCTACTCCCACCTTTTGTCTAATTACCTCATTCCTCAGGCGGTCTTTTCTGGTATGTCCACACATCCAACGCAACATACGCATCTCTGTCACACTCATCTTTTGAATGTGGCATTGCTTCAGCGCCCAACACTCTACGCCATATATTAATGCCGACCTAATTGTTGTACGATAAAATTTACCTTTCAGTTTAGTCGCATACCTCGATCGCATAGAAATCCTGAAGCACTTTTCCATTTCATCCACCTAGCTCTGATTCTATGACATACATCTCCATCTAATTCGCCATCCTTCTGAATTATGGATCCCAAGTAACGGAACATATCACACACCGGTATCTCCTTACCATCAAGAATAATCCCACTGTTGCTATTGCTTCTACCTCCACCGAACTTGCACTCCATATAGTCAGTCTTGCTTTGGCTCAGTTTGAAACCCTTGCTCTCCAATGTTTGTCGCCATACTTCCAACTTTGCTTTAACATCGGATTGTGTCTCATCAATCAATACAATATCGTCGGCAAACATCATGCACCACGTTATATCTTCTTGAATTGACTTCGTAAGTTCATTCATGACTAAAGCAAATAAGAAAGGACTCAGAGTAGATCCTTGGTCCACTCCAATAGTAATAGGGAACTCTGTGGTCCTCCCTACACTAGTGCGGCCGCTTGTAGTACAAGCATCATACATATCCATGATGATGCTGATATACTTACGTGATATGCCTTTTCTAGTTATGGCCCACCAAAGAACTTCTCGAGGTACCCTATCATATGCCTTTTCTAAGTCAATGAACACCAAATGCATATCCTTTTTAGTGTCTCTGTACTTCTCCACAACTTGTCTAAGAAGGTGAATGGCCTCAATTGTTGAGCGTCCAGGCATAAAACCAAATTGATTCTCCAAAATTTTCACACTTTTACGTAGTCTTTGCTCAACCACTCGCTCCCAAAGTTTCATGGTGTGACTCATAAGCTTAATCCCTCGATAGTTAGCACATTCTTGTACATCACCCTTATTTTTAAATAAGGGAATGAGAGTACTCTTCCGCCAACTCACTGGCATTTTGTTGTTTCTCCAAATCATGTTGAAGAAACGTGTTAGCCACTCGATGCATTTCTCTACCAAACTTCTCCAAGCCTCGATCAGTATGCCATCTAGTCCCACTGCTTTCTTCCGGCCCATTTTTCTCATAGCCTCTTTAACTTCTGTTGTTTGAATCCTTCTCACGAAGTCCCTATTTACCATACACTCTGGTATAGTAAGATCATCAATACCTTGGACTTTATTCCCGTTGAACAAGGTATCAAAGTATGAACTCCACCTCTCTTTTATTTCTTCGTCGTCCATTAGTACCCTTTGATCGACATCCTTCACACACTTAACTTTTCCGATATCTTGAGTCCTACGGTCACGAAGGCGAGCAAGTCTGTAGATATCTTTTTCTCCTTCCTTAGAATCCAACTTTACATACAATTCCTTTTTCACTTTTCCTTTGGCTTCCTTCACAGCTTTCTTTGCTCTTCTTCTAGCCTCTTTGTACTCCTCTATGTTCTCGTCGCTCCAACTTTTGCCCAATTTCTTATAGCATTCTCTTTTGGCCCTTATTGCTTGTTTCACCTCATCATTCCACCAAGATGTGTCCTTTTTTGGTGGCAGACATCCTTTAGATTCTCCGAGTATCTCCTTCGCCACTTTGTTAATGGTGGACTCCATTGATAACCACACATCATCCACGTGTGCGTCATTATCATTAGACCAAATGTCTTCCTCCAACATTTTGTGTGCAAAACTTTGTTGGAGATTCCCCTCGAGCCTCCACCATTTTATCTTTGGCTCCCCTTGTACCTTAACTCGTCCACTCTTTTTACCTCGAAAATCAAGCACAAGCATCCTATGCTGAGTGATAGCACTCTCACCTGGGATAACCTTACAATCAGTGTAGCTAGTTCTCCAAGTCGTCTATACTAAAAAGTAGTCAATTTGGGTACTATTAGCTCCACTTCTATAGGTGACAAGGTGAGAGTCTCTTTTCTTGAACCAAGTGTTCATCACAGCCAACTCATATGTCGAGGCAAAATCCAGAATGTTCTTCCCCGCTTCATTTCTTGTGCCAAAACCATGTCTGCCATGGACACTCTCAAAACCATCACGATTTGGGCCCACATGCTCGTTGAGGTCGCCTCCTATGACCAGCTTCTCTCCCTTTGGCACTTGTCGCACCACTTTCTCAACATCCTCCCAAAATTGTTGAGTGATAGATGCATCCAATCCCACTTGTGGTGCATAGGCACTAACCACGGACACGATCTCATCCCCTAATATCAACTTAATGCACATGATGCGATCGTTCTTCCTAAACACTTCAACCACACCGTCAACATAATCATGTGCCACCATAATGCCTACTCCATTTCTCTTCCTCTCTCTCTCTCCCCGAGTACCACAGCTAAAAACCTCCGGGATTAATCTTGCGTGCCTTTTCTCCAACCCACTTAGTTTCTTGCATGCACATTATGCTGATATTCCTCCTCTTCATAACCTCGACTATCTCAGATGATCTTCCCGTAAGAGAGCCAACATTCCATGTCCCAAAGCGCAATCTAACACTCTGCCTTCTCTTATTCACCCCACATCGACCCCCACCATGCCCTTGCATATTTGATTTAGCATTCTTATCACCACACCCAAGCCTATGAAGTGTAGCGCGCCCTTGCTCATTTGACACCACTCCCAGGCGGAGGGATGACACGTCGCTTACGGGCGACGACCTAGCTATAGCGATATTCATATTTCGATTCATGTCATGTGATGTGACTAAGTGATACTATTGGCCATCACGCGCCTACCACAGCACCCTCCTCCTTTATCCTGGCTTGGGACATGCATGATACCAAAAAAATGATCTCATGGCGGAGTTGAAAATAACATAACATAGAACGATAAATAAAATAAAATAAAAGATAAAAGAGAGAGAGAGAGAGAGAGAGAAGGAAGAAAAGAAATCAATCGTGCACATGTATATGCGTCCTCCATTTTGTTCTATCTAAAATCACTCTTATTCAACCTCAAACAAAGCATATCAGTTCTAATTCTTTTAATCCAGGTCATTTTGGGTCAAGGCTCAAGAGCTCAAGAGCTCAAGTGCCCAACCAGATTCAACTCGGAAGCCTCTAAAGTGGGGCTTCATTGCCCAAGCTCTAATAGTTAAATGCAAGCCATGTGTGTTTTGTGTAGTGAAAAGTGTAAATAGATCCCAGGAAAATGGTGTCTCATTGTATCATCTTGGAAATCATATGCATACATAGAATCATACAAAGAAAAATAACTGACTGATTGTTTACAGATCCTATTCCAACAGACCTTATATGAGCATGGCTAAGGCCATCTCCAAGAATCCAAAGTTGTAAAATCTTAAAAGTGCTAGGCATGTGGCTAGGAGAAAATGAATCAACTTTAAGCAGCATTTAAATGAAATTAGCTGGAACTTAATAAAAAAAAGTCATCAGGGTTAATCAACATAAATCCCCTACCTAAGCATGGATTTGTACAACAATGCAAGAACCACAAACAAAACATATTGAATTGAAGCAACTAGGTGATAGTAT